GGGTAAAACTCAAACAAAGTAACATCATAATTACTGAGAAGATTGACATATTGTACAATTGAGGGTTAGAAATTTAGAAATAACAAAAACAGACAGGATGTTTGGATAAAAAATCTAGTAGGATCATAACTAATGTGACAATAATTGTTTACGCAGTTAGGGATTAAATATGTAGAAATAATAAAATGACAAAACAGACAGGAATTTCGGATATGAAAATATGGTAGTGTAAATAGGGATTAAGAAAACTTAAAAATAACATGAATAAACAGGAAGTTTGGATAAGAAAGGCAATGGAATAGTCATTACTAAAAGAACTACCTGTTTATGATGGCCCGTATATAAAACAAAGTTGGGTCACATACTTAAATTCGTTGAAGCCCTGGCCATAAAAGGACTTAGATCTGTCTTATGTGTCCAGAAGTTATTTGTCATTACTTTAAACCTGCCTTGGTAATCCAGTTTAGAACCAAGGATCAATTTACTTCATAATATTTTCAACCCCTTCTTTGCTTAGCTTTTTCTTTCCTACCCACACCATTGCGCCATCTCCCTACCCATTATTTGTGCCTCTGACCTGTATTGTAATGATTCATGCCTTCTTGCCTTCTATAAAACTTTGGATGAAAAGTACGTGTGTGATCAGAATGTCTGAAATGTGTTGCGCAAATACATTACATGTTTCAGCCAAACTGCGTCTTCATACTGTGTTGTCGAAATTCATAAAGGAAACTAAGTGCGTTAAATTTTTGAAACACTATTGTGAAACTAAGTAAATGATCCATAGTTACACAATTGCTGTTCAATGAACTATCGAGATAATCCATGATGCATGATCGGCATTCTCAATTCATACAGTTCTTAAGGCATCCACTCTTGTAGAAACTAAAGTAACCAGAATTTAGAAGATTACCATCTAAAGATTCCTCCATTTCATGTTTCGGAAGTAGGGATTATTGTTTGAAAGCTTTGAAAGTGAGGAAATTCTAATGGATTCAAATAGGAATTGATTTTTTACTATTCAAGGATGGAGATGAGAAGATCACCAAATATCAACTAGACAAAATACTGTTTACCTAAACTTGTTGTTTAATACATTTAGCTAGTTCTTAAATAACTCAACGAGAAATGTGTTTGTTTCCATTATTGTTAAAGCTGTAAAAGCTGTTCTCAGTGCGCTATTTAAATAATGTTTATTCTAATTTCATTTACAGAAAAAATAAATAGGTTGAACATTGAACAAACATTAAAATAATAATACTTCAGTTTCCATTGTTGCTTTTATCTTTTAAATGAGATAAAAAAAATAGTCGGAAAATTAATTTAAAACTGGAGATTATATTATTGAAAGAAATTATAGGTCACTTTTAAAAGCATAAATATTAATCTGAATGATAATGAGACACTTAAATTTAATTTTAATTCAATTTAGCTAAAAGCAAAGAATTAAGAATTTTCTATCTTTTACCGAATCATTATGCAGTACTTGACTTGGGAAATTTTCCAAATCCTTTGAACACTTATCAACTTAAAATGAATTCATCCCATAAATGGTATCAACTTAAGATTAAATCTGTTTAGTAGATTAATGTCAATAAACTCATTATTTTTTTATTCCACTCTAAAACAACAGGTCACTACTTTAAATACACTTCTTTTATTCCTCCATATTCCCAGTGGAACATAGGGCTTGAAGTTTCTGTAGCAGTGTTTAATTTTACAGGATAAGGTTGCTAGCCTCATGTCCAACCTCTTCTTTTTTTACCAGCTTTATTACTGGCTTAGTAAGGTAAAGGAATGCGTCGACCGGGGATCGAACTCCGGACCATGTGCATGGTCAGCGAGCGTCCTAACCACTGTGCCACCGACGCACTCTAATACAATTGAAGAAGTGTAATACAGAATTTATCTTTTGTTGATGAAGTCTCACAGTCTTATACCTGGAGGAATTTACTGATGATTGATGAGTTTTTTCTCTCTGCAACATTTGATGTCAAAAGCGTTTTTCTAAAGCAATGATTTATAGCCTAAGAAGTATTATTACCTGGGTGAGAAACAAACACTTATGAATGGTTACCAATGATCCAGTTCCCAATAGCTATAAGACCTGACACCAGATACAGATAACTTTTTCTTCATATTTAGCTGTTGTCCAAATTTCATACTATTCATTACTTATACAGAATTACGTTGTTGAAGAATTTGTGATTTACACCTATTAACCTTGTCTTGAATTTGTAAACATGCTGTGATTTCATTAAGTGATATTACAATGGCTTCAGGTTCTACTACAGATTGATATCAGGTATGAAGCTATTAAAAGCAAGGGAATACTAGACACCTGTTTCATTCAAATTTGCGATTCGACATAAATACTCACACATGACCTACCAGGAATTGAACCCAGGACCTTCAGGCTAGGAGGTGAGCTTGTAGGCCATTATGCCACTGAGTTGGATTCCAGTGGCCGATGATTTCTAACTTCTGCAGATTTACGACCATTAGTGCCAGTGCCAGCCAGTATCATTGACAGGTATTCGTCTTCACACCTGGCCTGATGGACTGCACTGGTAACAACTTCTTACTAGGACTTCAGATAATGTCATCTTGTTGCAGGTCATTATTGAGCATCAGATTACTGACTGAAGGGTCTCAGATCCACACGAACTATATGTCCAGTACTCAGTGATGGCTTTCGATAATTCTCTAACTGATATCAATCCATCATTAAACTTTCAGCCAATCAAATCTTTGCAAACTCACACTTCAAAATTTCACACTGGTTCAGTCTGCCTTGGGAAGAAAATTGTATACAGCATAGCTGTAAGCTACTATTCTCACTTTTATCTCAAACACTCCATTAAAAATAGTATTATTCTTCAAGTGTTACTCAAATTCTTTCGAGAGAGAGAAAAAAAGCAACTAAGGGAACTATTTTTATTTTTTTCCCTGTTACCTTTTCAAAAAACCACAAATATTTTTTTCTATTAAAAAAAAAGGTTTTTATTCTACACTATCAGTCTGAAAATGCCAGGAGTAGAATAGAAAATGTGTGTGTGTGTGCACGCGCGTTGTTTTAGTATACCTGTTTAAAATTCTTTACAAAAACTTTTTCACACAAGTTATTATTTTTAGTAATAAATCCTGAAATTCCATTCCTTAACAGCCTTCACTTTTTCTTCTTTGAAATGAAAGTTTTGGGAACTGTCAAGCATTGGCTTCAAAAATGTTTTCGATACTTGCACAAAAAGATGTCATAATTTTTTTTTGGAAAAGTCTGTTATTTATAGCATTGTTTTACATACATAAATGATAATGTCAAACCGGTATTTTGACCGGAGAAAACTTCTATTTATAGATCCTGTTGAAATACTGTAGCTATTTCAATCTTCTATTTACAAAACTATAATTTAGGGATTTAAAGTAGGCTGCCATTCGATCAGACTTCGTGATTGGCCTGTTTCTTTAGAAATGGTTTAATTACACTGTTTTTATTATGGGTCTTTTGTGGGGATATTGACTGACTTCAGTGCGGAATTCGTCTCAAATCACCATTAGTTAGAAATCATTGAAAACGTGGGAATACTGGAGGACTGTTTCGTTTCAGTTTTGGACTTCTCAGCAGTACACACCAATGATCCCACCAAGAATCAAACCCAGGCGTAAATCCAGCTTCTCGTGAATTCCAGCCCAAGGGATTGAGTGGTCAATGATCTTGACCTCGTACCCTGAAGGTCTCAGGTTCGATTGCTTGTAGGGTCGTTGGTGTGTAATGCTGAAGGTTCTCAAACTAGGACGACATAACTGCCCGTCACTCCCTGGTTTTCAATGCCTCTCCAAATGATATCAATCTGTTGTCACATTTGATCCTTACAAAATAACTCCTGGAAACCAAGAATAGTGGCGGATATAATCTTTCCTTCTTTTAAATCCTTTAAGATTTTATTTGTTTCAATTGACCCCCCATGTTTTTTTTCATTTTTATATAACTCAGAGGACATTTGAATTTGTGTAAACTGATTATTGGTAATGTATTACGCAAATACATCACAATATTTTTGAGATAATCCCTGTCATTTGGTGACCTTATCCATATTTGTTAAGAAGAATCCAATTATCTTAAATTGATATAAAATGGCTTAGCAGTTTTCATAAATTTATTGTATTCAACTAGTGCAAGAATATTTCAAATGGAAATGATAGACTATCAGGTTTCGTCATAAAAAATTGAATTTTTCCCAGTCTAAGTGGTTATTATTAAAAGTAATTCATGGGTTACAAAAAATTTATCAGTATGAATTATAGTCATATATATAATTCACTTCAAAAATATGGCATACTCTTTGCAAACATTCTCCACACACACCCTCCTCAACCAAACGTGCTATAGATTGTGTGAATGCCGTCTAATGGACATCACTGTAAGATGGGTGGAGGAAATAGGGAAGAAGCCCTGGATCTAAGTTTCCTACTTACTGACACTGATCAGCTTAGAGGAAGTGATGTCCTCCAAGAGATCCAAACCAGAATCACTCAGTGCTTCAGTCAGAGACGTTACCAATAGCAATTCGGGTTCACAATTACCTCCTGTATGGCTGTAATGAATATACTCACTATTCACTAGGAAGTGTCCAATACCATATGATTGGTCATCATGGATTCGATAATTTAACAGGAGAAAATAAGTCTCTAATGCTTACTGAAATACACATAGTCCAGAAATTAATAAGATCTAATTATTCAATGTATAGTATCCCAAAGAACTCCAAGTTGAACACTAAAAGTAGTGAATAGTATAAACTGAACCATATCTCAGAACGTGAGATATCAGCTTACTTTCACATATCCCTTCAGCCTTACTGAAAGACTTTTGTAAATCAACCACGAGGGTTACACTCACACAGCCAAAGCAACTGTTGTTGAAAGAGACATAAGCCTAAAGAACAAACAATCAATAAGAAAACAAAAAAGTCTAATTACAAAAGTTATTGAGAACTTACCAGCAGATACTGTTAGCTGACGAATATTATTTCCCAGTTTTAAAAGTTCTTCTGTTGACATTATTAAAGCAGACCTACATAAAATCCTCTCGTGTATGCTTTTACTACTGCTGTCAATTTTGCTGTTAATAGGTTCAGTTAAAAGTGTACTTGATGTAGACAAAAATAAACTTGTTAATGTATGTTCTGTTTGCTTCCATGTCATTTCTAAATATCTGCCAATTATCTGATGTCGTGTGCTAACCTCTCGGTGATCACTCCATTGGACAACTTTCTTAGAAGTGATTTTAGGCTTTGTCATTTCATTTTGTTTGTTATCACTTATGTCTGAATCCCCAGTGATATCACAGGGATAGTCACTTTCATGCAACCGATGCTCTTGATCGACATCTGAGTTATTATCTGGCTTTACTTTATTATACTCATTGTAAAATGCTTGACTACTGACTGATGGATAGGGTGAAACAGGTGATCCAGTAGCTACATATCTATCCAGTGTGCTGGAGCGATGTAATGTATCCTGATAACGTGAAAGATAACCAGTAATTAAGTCACCTTTCCGATGAATATCTGTTTTCTGGAATGCCTTTGAATAAGCATCTTTTGATTCTGCAGTATTTGAATGACTCATAGATGAGTTTCGGACCAGGACCCCGTGTTTTCCCTCAACACTTAGTGCATGAGATGACATAGAATTTTGTTTCGAGTTGTTTTCTGCATAACCTGTTTTCAAACGTTGTTCAGCTTCAGCCTGTCTTACTTGAGCTGTAGCAGCAGCTGATGTGCATACATGCTGTAATTTCTGTACTTGATATAATAAATCAGTTGACTGAGAAAGAATATCTAAAAAACTTGATATAAATTCATATTCATTTCGTAGATAATCTGAGGCTAATAATCCATGATTATCGTTTATGTATTTATGATACTCTTGAGAAATTAAATTTGTCTCTGAAGAATTATTATTTACATTAACGTCATCCTTGACAGGGGGATCAAGGAATAACTTTGAAAATCTATACAACTGTAAATAAATCAAATGAGCAAGACGCAGGGAACGCTGTTTAGCGAATAATGAAAATAAGCAACCAACAGATATTGAAAATGTAACATCTGCAGGATCAGTTAATAAGTCATAGGAAATAATCTGGGATAATAGTGTTCTACTACTGTTCATATAATGATCATTCATGCATAGTGTAGCTTGATGAGAATTCTGTAAACTATCATAATTACACAACAGTCTGTGTAAGCGTGTATTACGATATGATTGAAATGTATTATGCAAGTGTCCACGCAGTATGCTTAACTCTTCAATACCACGTGTCATTTCCCATAAATCATCATGCGTAAAACGTGTCAACTCGATATGACCTAATAATGATACACCAGAATAAATTAAATGTTGAGCAGAATTTATAATAGCTAATGTTAATACTTTACTATGAAATGAATTAATTTTACAAGCATCTAAAAAGATTCTTTTAAAAATTCCATCACAATTATTTGAGGTGTTTAGTTGATTTAAACGACAACACATATATCGATGTTCATTGGCTAAACGTTTCATTTGTGTCCAACATTGTCGTAAACTTTCACAAAGAATTCTAAGCTCACTTAACTGAGATGAATGATCATAGTGTCTTGTGCTTGCTGATGTCCTCGACATCATATAATCATCATCATTTTCATTATCATTATCATCTTCTTCTTCATTATTCTCATCAAAATGTAACAATGTTGTTAATAGAAATTCATTGTAATCGTTCAATAATCGAGTAGAGTTCTTTTCATACAATGCTTGAAATGAATAAATATTATTTGTTGATATAGAAAATTTTGTGAGAATACAATCTAATAAATTCAATTCTTTAATAATTATATTCTCTGAATGAGCTAATAATGCAATTAAGCCTAAACTTAATTCTTTAAGTGTTGTGTTCAATGTATCTAAATGTACAATTTTATAAATAGTTAAACAAAAACGATGTAAAATTGATAAATTGTTTAAATTATCTACATTGTGTGTTGAATTAAAAGTTTTTATTGAGGATAATTCATTAATATCTTTCACTGTTGATACTGGTGTAGTAATGCTTTCCACAGATGTCGACAATTGTTGATTTTCACTATCGGTAACTTCATCTGTTTTAAATATCTGTGAAAAGAGGATAACATTTTAAAATATATATAGTGATACTTTAAGAATAGTCTTTATATTAAATAACTCAGACAGTTTCCCGCTGTATTAAATAAATTTAGACAATTTAATTGAAATACACTAGAATTAAGTGGAACATTAGATACACTAGGCCAATACCTTTCGCATGATCCGTAATTACACACCAGCTTCACGGACTATTTATGTAAAATTGGTTGGAAGATTTCATCATGAGCTGACATCAGTTATAGAACCATTGGAAAAGTAACTGGGAGTACTGGACAATGGCTCTCTGACTGATATCAGCTCATGATAAAATCATCTAAACAACAACAAAATCCCAACAAGGCAATACTTGAAAATTGATCTGATGCCCGCTATGATTGGTCCTATTAAGGCAGTTAAGCTGAATTCCTAGTGGAAAGCCGTGACCAGTGGGGTAAAGTAGGTTGAAGGTGAGTACAGTCACTCATCAAAGAAGACATTGCCAAGTGGTCGCGCTATGTCATGAACTAAAAGAAGTTGGAATTCATGGACTGGCTGACCACTGGATTTTGTCCTAGTGGCTTAATGATCTACGAGCTCGTTAGTCCTGGGTTCAAACTCCGGTGGGTGCGTACTGCCGAAGAGTCCTAGACTAGGCTGACGAAACAGCCGTTCAGTACTCCTAGCTGGTTTTCCAATGGTTCTCTAACTAATTTCAGCTCATGATGAAATCCTCCAACCAATCAAACAAAAATTCTCACAAAAGCAATACTTGAAAAATATTTATGTAAAAGTTTATAACTCGACTTAAGTCAGGTAATGATATGGGAATAAGAAAGGTATCCACCTGAAACGAAATTATGCATTTCTGCACAGTAGATGCTAGAAACCAAGATTTCGATTTTCTTAGAGTAATCTTAGTAATAGAAATAGAATCTGCATAATTTCCAGTCTCATTCATGATTCATATTCTATGAAAAGTGTTAGTGCTATATTGCCACGCACTGGAAAATCGAGTGGTCCGGTTCCGTAGAAAACATCTAGTGTAGCAGTTGACATGGGAGACTACGGTTCTGTATAACATCATACTGAGGAAGTTTATTTAGTATATTTAACATGTATGTGTATACCTAAAGCACACGCAAAGTTAATTCATGCCTTCATCTGTTATTATCTACTGAAATTCTTTTTTTAACAGCAAAGTGGACCAGTACAGAGATGAGCAATCTCAATTGAAAAGAACATTTGTTTATTGTTCAGTGAATAATTCAACTTCCTTTAAAGAATAGATCGTTTCGTGATGAAAAACCCCTTTGAAATCTATTTATGAGAAATCAAATAGGTGCTTTCTTAGAATAATCCAAAATTAACACTTTTCAACAAAAAAATAACAGATGAATGTATTTTTAGATTTCCTTTATTCATAAATTTAGAATGTGTAAGTATTCTATATAAAAATATAGGATTTCCGATAAGATTTATTAATGAATATCAAAATTAATTTGTTTATCTTTTTTCACTGGAGCAATGAATACGGAAGTATATATATATATGCACCTGGAAGAGTCATTGGCAGAAGATTAACAAGCATAGATATGAAATGAAAAATTTATGTTCATCTTGATTAAAACACTAGTTAAATGGACAAGAACACATTTCATAAATAATAACTTGTGTAATAATTTCGCCTTATTTCTCTAGTTCAGATTTCAAAGATAAGAATTCATGGTTTCTCACCAGGGTTTTAAAATTATCTGTATTCCATTACATGAAAATTTATAAGGATGTTACCTATTTCAATTATCAAGTTGTTTGGACTTACGATTTATCATTTAAATAGTTGGAATAAAATTCTTTTTCATTAGGTATTAAATTTACTTCAACCCTGACGGCGGATTGATATCATTTAGAGAACCAGAACCAGTGAAAATCATGAATTACTGGACAACCCCGTTTCGTCCTAGTTTGAGACTCTTCATCAGTATACAGCAGACAACCCAATCAGTGAATGAGCCAAGAACCCTTAGGGTACGAGTTGCGCACTTAGTCACCGGGACGGATTCTAAAGGCTCAAGAATTATAACTAATATTAGCTGGCGAATTTTAGCTTCATCACCCGTCAGTGTCACCGGCGAGTATTTATCCTGATGCCTTACCTGGTGGACTCCACTGGCCACGATTTCCAGTCATCGTCGTTGTGCAGTCAGTCACTATTATTAGTATTATTACTGTTCCCTTGGGTTCCTAGTGGAACATAGGGCTTCAACTGCACGTCTCCACTTGCTTCTGTCTTCTGCTGTACTTTTCACTTGCATCCATGTTAGTCCATACTGTTTCAACTCCTCTTCACACGATCTCCTCCATGTCACCCTTGGACGTCCCACTCGCCGCTTCCCTTTCGGGTTTCACTCGAGCTATGGCCTGACGCGCGATGTCACCCAGTGGCCTCCTCAGCGAGTGTCCAATCCATCTCCACTTTCTCCTGCATATTTGTTGGGCAATTGGTTCTTGTTTTGTTTGTTCCCATAGTTTCTTGTTGGTGATTCTTTCCAGCCATCTGATCTTCAGTAGTATAGAGCGAAGACAGTTGTTGATAAAGGTCTGCAACAGGCTGTTGGAAATATTCTTTGTGACCCGCCGCCAAGTTTCTGATCCGTATAGAAGAACTGACTGACTTGACGTTTGTATTGAAAATCCGAATTTTGTTGTTGATGCTGAGGAGTGACGAAGATTTCCAGATTGGTTTCAGGTTGATGAATGTGTTTCTCGCCTTCCCGATTCTCGATTTGACATCCTCGTCCGTTCCTCCTGTGGTTGAGACAATGCTCCCTAGATAAGTGAATGAAGTCACTCCCTCTTTCAAATTCCTCCCGTTGATGGTGATTGGCGCTGGATGTTGCTGCTGCTGTTGTTGTTGGTTGGTTATTTTCATAACCTCCGTCTTGTCTATGTTCACCTGGAGTCCTGTCTTTGCTGCTTCTTCGACCAGTTTGTCGGTTTTCGCTTGTAAGTCTTCGATTTTGTGTGACATCAAACATATATCATCCACGCGCGAAATCCAGGTCTTCTAGATTCTTCACGTCGGTCCAGGATATCCCTGTCTTCTCGTTTCCCACTGTCTGATGCATAATTCAGTCCACCACAATTAGGAATATCATTAGTGATAATAAGCACCTTTGTCAGTCACTAGTGAACATCAAATTAATTTTCAGGTGTTGGCTTTTAGGGATTTGATTCGTTTAAAATGGATCGATATCAAATATTTTTAATACTTAGAAGATTGAGAGAAAATACAGATATGATACACTACTCACTGTTAATCACTAACTTTAAGTATTCTTATGAGATGATGATGATGAAGAGTGTTTCGCACACTCACTGGTTAACGGGATGCATCGCAACGTATTACCGGTAATCTGCAATTTCCAGTAATTAGTAATTCCAGTGTTAGCCAAATGTTTTATTTACATTTGACAGAAATCTGACGGCTATAATGTTACATTCCCTGATGAAAAATTGATGCCCAAACAGTCACTGATAATCAATCATCCTACTACGAAACCGACTCACTTCTAGTGTATGTGAGTCTAATATATTTACAAATTAGTGAATAAAACTCATGACTTTGGGCCCTGTAAATTATATATATCTAATGTGAGTGTTGAGAAACAATCCTCATGAGTAAATTCATCACAATATCTAATTAAAATTTCAGGAAGACAATTTCAAAGCTAATCTCTACTGATCAATAATCCGTTGAAATTTACCGACTCTAAAATTCACTATTTCTCAAATTGAAACCATTGTGGAATACCATCACATCAGCCACTGGATATATACTAAGTCACTGTGTTAAATGAAGTGTTTGAGCCCAATACACCTAGTGGATTTATTTCCCCATTGATAAAGAATTCGAAAATCGCATCTAGCAACTTTCAGTAATGCATCGTTGTGCTTTTTATTGGTAATCTTGATACTCTTGTATTTGTGAAAACTTCATAGCCAACTTTCGTATGATCGAAGAGACTTTACGCAGTATAAATATAAGTTTGCAATCAGAAACCCTTGCAGAGAATCAGCCAAGAGGCTAGCGCCCAACAAATATGCCGAGGTTAACGAAGATGGTTGGGGCACACACTGAGAAGATCGTTGAGTGATATCACGAGTCAGACGCTCGGGGTGGAATCCGAGTGGGGAACAACGAGTTGGGCATGGGTCCTATATCGACAGTGAGGATCCCGTCGGGAGTAGATGAGAGCTTTTGAGCAATTATAGAATCAGCTGAATAGGACCATAGAAAACAAAGTGAAATAGGAAGGTGTCAATGAAGCCCTATGCTCCACTGCCAACTCTAGGGATTAAAAATGATAACAATGATAAATATAAATTTAATAATAAAAAAAGAAAACATCATTAAATTACAGAATAATCATACCAATTTTATCTTTTCACTTTCATTAAAATCATCCAATACAACTGCTTTATTAAAGTTTGTTAATATTTTTATTGACTGACATAATGATAAAGTGAAGGTGATCAATTCATCAGTCGTAGATGTACACAAACGTAAACTTTGTTCAATGTAATCAGCTTGTTGTGAATCTAATGATGTTTGTATTGGCGTAGCTGGTGGATCTTCATCTTCTTCAACTGTACACGCTCTGCCGATAGCAGCTAATGATGCATGCATTTACAGAATATTTCAACACAGCCTAAATTAATTTAGTAGAAGAAAAAAAAACGATAAAATCTGTAGTTACTATTAGTTACGTTTAAATAAATATATATATGATCTGAATAAACTAATGAGTTTAATAGTAAATGAACAAGTCAAATTCGCTTATCACTTCACAAGTGACTGATTGAACAGTTTATATCATTCGCTTAAACACGAGAAAAACTTTTGCCTCAGGATAAAATTTAGTTATCGACCAATTTGAAAACAGTGAATATATTAAACATATAGAAGAATTTTGTCACTGTGTATGCCTACTTGTTGATAACAAAGAAAAAATTAGACATTTTATTTAACTTCCTTTCATCACCTCAATGATAATAAAATATGTGATAACTCACTCATTGTGATAATCATTCATAAAACAGTCTGGTTGACAAAGAGTGTCTTTGAGTGAAAACTGACAGCAGGCAAGTTGGCTATTTTTGAAGTACTGTGTTACATCATAATGTCTGATTAGCATAATTGTGAATGACTATGAAATTATGTGAAATTCTCTGAAGCAATCTATGAAATTTTTATCGATTATAATATGATAAAACCGAAATGTTAAACTGCTCAATAAGACATTCTATGTTTAGAAATTCTACAGCCTTTCTGTTCAATATAAAATCGTCTCAAGTAGTTTGGCTTATGGATTAGAGTTATAACTCGCCACAAACCAATATCAATTATGGAGTCACTGAAAATCTAGCAGCATTAGATAGATAATTTTTTGTATGTGAAAACAAATTAACCCTGGTATCTGTCTTTCCTTGTAATCGACTTCGTGAATTATATTGGTCAAAACTTCTAGTTAGAACTTCAAAAAGGGTTCACCCCTGCTGAGGAATGAATTATTATTCACATTTTGTATTTGCATGGACAATTACAGAAGTTAATACCCAGTGTCCATTTCATGTATTGCATACATATCAAAATCCTACTGATAAATTATGCATTAGTCTGGTTCAGGGTTGATAACCTTTATGAAGATTCAAGCTTCAGAATAACTGAAAAGTTGATCTCATTTGTATTACTGTCACTGCAAGGATAACGTATCAGTAGAGATAAGGCAGTTTATTTAACCTACTGCCTTCTGATAACATTGTCAATGCTGAATAGCACAATTAACAAAGTCTTTTAATCCCTTTGAGTTCTGAGTGGAATATAGAGCTTCAAACTTGAGCTTTAAAGTTTCTATAGCCGTGACATTTCATGTTTACGGGGGGGTTCGCTAGCCTCATACTCAGCCTTCTGTCTTTACCGGCCTACCACCGGCTAAGCAAAGTTTAGGAGTGTGTCAGAGGCTAACAATGGGAGTCCGACCACTTGTATGGTTGGTGAACATTCTACTGATGAAGCACCGACTCGATATAAAAGTAAATGCAGAAATCTTTTCATTTAGTTCCATACGTAGATATCTGTTACCAGAAAACAAGCTATTTTATACCGTGCAAATCGGAAATGCATTATTCTCCGCACAATGGTTTATTAATATGCTATTTCCAGATATTATACGATTGTATCGTTATAAATAAGGCTGAAGATTAACATTTAATCTCATGTCTATCAAGTCTCAGCCGAACAACAAGTGGAGTTCGAGGTAATCGGTCAACAGATAGTTAGTGAATAAAACAGTGATGCCTCCATGACTCTTCCCTGCGATCGATGATAACAAACTTAAAAATTCACACAGGCACCATTCATACTTACAGCACAGTTTATTTATTCAAACAATAGAAACACCTGAGTTCTGTGAACCAGTTCAAAGGAAAAAACAGATTAGCAGCCCGTAAGTATGAGGTATAGTGATAGGCGCCGCATCAAATGATTCTAAGGATGTAGCTTTACATCAAACAATACAAACATATCTTCATTGAGATATTAAAAGTCTACACAAAATAAAGATTTAGTCTTGACAGCAAAAAAATCAGTAAGCCCATAAAACGTTCTCATCCTCCTATCTGATCAAAATTCGAATTTTAACATCAAGAGAATCAATACAGTCGATTAAATTAAGAACAGTGATGATGATTTTATAACTGGTCCGTGTTAAATATGCCGCTAACTGGCACTCAGCATTAGGTGAAAATATACCGCAAAATAATGCTCGTTGCTTCATTCTGCTTTATTGCATTCTGTAAATGAAAAATGCAAAAGGAGACTAATAGTTTATGTGTTTGGTAAGAGACAACGACAATCCAAAAATATTTTAGATCAGATTTTAATGTAGTTTCTCATCTAGTCAGTGAACTTGAGTAAGCATTCCTACAGAAAAATTGGTGTTAATCTAGCGACTACAAATAATACGAAAACGCTGAAACGCAAACCCAGTGTTTTACCAAGTTGTCTCTATGAAATAAAATAAACTATCAATACTCCGAATTTTCATTCTATACACTGAGCAGAAGTGAGTTTTATAGTCTTATTCATTTCATATAAAAAGCTTTCAAAATACAACCAAACCTTTGGGTCAAGTGAGTGAAAGTAAAGCAAATGGAAATCATTTAGCTCAACTCTTCGTAACTTATGAATCATAAAACACAGAAGGTTTTCATATTTAAATTTATTCAGACCGAAATTCAAGTCTGTTCCCATAGGAAAACGTTAATGATGAAAAGTAGTAACTTGAAATTTTGTGGCTTAAGTGGCGCAAATTTTACGAAGAAAATAAGATAATCTTCAAATTTTGAGGCATAACTCTGAATATCTTTGGTAGTAACCTAAACGTATGGTATAATAAGGATTTGCAGAAAATGTGAACTCCCAACAAGTGGCATCAAGCTATTCCGTTTTAACACAATAATATATAGCTACTCACTATTATTAAGGACTAGCACCTTACGAGTGTGAATATTCACACAGAAATACTGTACAGACATTTCCTAAATATCACTATATTATGAAGGAAAAAAGGAATAAATAAATTACTGTAAGGAAGAATGTCTATTCAGCCTTAAAACATTTAACCGGTGATGTAAACGACAGTAAATTTTGCCAAACCGGAAATTGGAAATATTATGAAAATTCATGCATGTCTCAATTAGCGTGCTTCTAAATCCTATCTTAATCTATACTTTGGTTATTCAGATACCAGTAAAATGAGTTCAAGTTGCGTATGCAAACCAACCAGTTACCGAATATGGAAGCCATATAAAACTGAAACAAAGTATTATGGATATCATTCAATGATCATTTCAGGGAATAATTTAGTCATTTAACGGTTTGAAAAAATTTGGGCATTGGGTATATGATATTCATTATAATAAAGGTTTTTTGTATTTCCCAATGAATGAAAAACAAAACGATATTGTTTTTACTGACGTTTCGCTATTTAATGCTAATAGCTTATACTTATAACAGCTTATAATACTTTGATAAAGCTATTAGCATTAAATAGCGAAACGTCAGTAAAAACAATATCGTTTTGTTTTTCATTCATTGGGAAATACAAAAACCTTTATTATAATAATTTAGTCATTTGCTTAAAATATTGGATGTCAAGACAAATTCTTATCAATGCATATTACATATGTTCTTCTTGCCCCAAGTTTACTAACCAACCCTGATGTGTTGGGTAGTGCAGTTGTAATGTTAAGCTCAGAGTATATGTCTACATTTAGATCTTACAGTTACTCTGCCTTTAAGTCCTCGTTGACTTGTCAGCTAAACTTTATCAACTTTATCAGTTGACAGTCAAACGAATCTTACTTTAAAGGAATAAATTCACATAGAAGACAGAAATTGCTTATTTAGAACGTCTGAAACTGCATGTCTCTCAGGTTAGCTGAAAATAATTTTCCAGAAATTATCAGCTATCATGAATAATTAAAGACAGACATGTAGATTTGGGCAACATAATAACGTAGTGTGATAGTGATGTCACGAAATATTCTAGGTCTACGGGCTATTTTGTTTATAGAAAATGTCAGTATCAGAATTAGCAGCTTGGCAGTAAAATTTGACCACCTAATTGTAGTGCATCTATTGCAATTTCGAATACACTGCGACGCGTAGCTATACCATTAAAGTAATTGTGATAATTCTTTGTTTTCAAAGGAGCTATTAAGTAAATCCACCTCACGAATTCCATAGGATTTAAAATTTAGTGAATATATCCATGTATATCTTAAATGTATATATATGCTCTTGCAAGAGCACAACACAATATTGCCGGACTGATGTGTAATACGATAACCAGAAGAAACGACACTGAAAAAATGAATTTTTTTCACCTGATATAAAGACAATCTAAGCAGAAGTACTTAGACTATTAATTACAGTGAAACTACACATCTTAACGTGTTACAGTTTCAAATTAAACTCTGGAAAATGTTGCTCAAAAAATTAAAATACAAGATGCATTCAATGCTTTAATTTTTGGACGTAATACCGAAGGCATAAAATCAGCTTAAATCTTGAAATTTAAATTCGATAGAAACAAAGTTTACCATTAATTACAAGACACTCCATTTAGCTGAAAAGATCCCCAGAAATAAAGTGAATAATTTCGAATGACACATATTTTCTTTTTATCTCACCTTCTTCCTCCCACACTGAGCGAATAATGTTCTTTAACGAACAAACCAGCGTAATGACATTCAGAAGGCTTTGAATTGACGGTGATTAGCGTACTCTCTAAATGGTGTGGACAAACAAACAACAAAAGTTTTGGTGATAATTCAATATTTAGTGCGTATCTAAGGAATTTTTTGTCTGGAATTTTCTTTTATTTATTATTATGTAGAATAACAAAATATATGGCTATTAATCCATATATTAAATGTGTTGCTGGTGAAATTCCAATATCCAGTATCGTTTTTACGAGCTAGTATAAACCAATTTGATTTCTTTGTGCTCGCCTCTTGATTGTGAGGTAGAGGTTCCTGATCTTTGGTCAACATATTTTCTTCTTGACTTCATTGATCGGAGTGGTCCTCCTAGGTATTCTGAGAATTTCGATGCAGGGTGCTGATGTTTACTTCCTCTGTATTTTTCCGGAACACTGTGACATTCAGGGTTTTAACTTGTTTTGAAGAGTTTTCGCCGTCTGGTATCCGTTTAAGTAACTGTTCATCCCTCGGTAAGTGGTTGTCGTATGGCTAAAATTTCTACTAGATTTATTGAAATTAAACTGCTTAAGAGAGGCTTCACACAAATATGAAGAATGAAAAGTAAAGCAAGTGAAAAACGAAGGGAGTGAGACCATATGTCAGTGTGAGGGAGGTGCAACAAACAAACACTCTGACTTCATATATCACATAAGCGTTACTTAGAAGGAGTGTTGAAACCACACACATCTTTTTGTTTAACTACTCTTTCCCAACATTTGGTATACAGTTTTCACATGTGACTGAGACCAAAGAAACCTCCTTTAGGAAATCCGTTCATCAACGTCAAAATGGATCCGAATAACTATTTATGCCACATGATTATGGTGTACCTACAAGTAACTGTGTGTTCGTCACTTCTTTGAACTCTTAATCCAGGACTACAGTTTTTGATGTGTGCTTTACGTCTCATTAAAAACTATTTCCTGCGAATTTCGCGGCAATCATGTTTCTTTTTAATATAAATGGCTTCACAGAGTCAGTTATCTACAATACAAACGCGTAAACCTTACAAGTAATTGGCACTCTTAGGAATATATTGCTGATATAACCTATCAGCTCGTGATCCATACAGTGATAAGACATTTTTTCAAGCGTCTTTTTATCCGGGAACTCCTTTTTTAATATTCTGGTCCTTCAGATCAATAACAAGCTGTTGTTCTTTTTAGTTTCACTGTATGACTTGATTTCGCGTTTGCTGCCAATCAGTGGAGGTGCTTACGTTTAACTGAGTAAACACAGCCCACTTCTCTGACCTTGTTTGCTAGTTATATAATATTCCACTAATCAAAACAGGTGTAAAATTTGATAATTGAATATGATATCTATCGCGGTATGTTTGAATTTGATGATACTCTTGTTTGTGTTTTAGTTGATGTCGCATTCTGATGATTACTGTTTCCTTTGATTCCTAGAGGAACCTAGGGCTTCAGCTGCACGTCTCCATTGCCAACGCTTCTCTCTGGCTCCACGTCTGCTCACACGCTTTCACCTCCCCTTCACATGAACTCCTCCATGTCACCCTTGTACTGACGACCAACTCGCCGCTTCCTATTCTGGTTCCACTCGACCAATGGACTGCCGTGTGATATCATTTGATGGTTTTCTCAGAGTATGGCCAATCCACCTGCATTTCCCCCTGCATTTTTGTAGCACAATTGGTTCTTGCCGGCTTGTCTCGTTCCTAGAGATCCCTGTTACTGATCTTTTCTGGCTATCTGATCTTGATTATTGAGCGAAGACAGTTGTTGATGAAAGTCTGTAGTTTGTTCGAAGTGACCTTCATGACGCGCCAAGTCTCTCATCGGTAAGCTAAAAAGCACTTACTTCACATTGGAGTTGAAAATCCACATATTGTTTTTCATTCTGAGTGTTGATGACGTCCACACAGACTTGAGAGTAATGAAAACTTGGCTTGCTTTCCCGATCCTCACTTTGATTTCCTTATCAGTTCCGCATGTAGTTGAAATGATTTTATTTTTTTATTTTTGATTTACAGCTTGATTCCACACCGTATTTTCAGTACAAGTATGGAATTTTCAGCATGGATATCGGTTGGCCCAAATTCAGGCCTACCATAGATATCGGGTGTGCGCCGGCAGGGGATCGAACCCCGGACCATGTGTATGGTCGGCGAGAGTCCTAACCACTGTGCCACCGACGCTCCCCAGATAGACCAAGGAGGTCGCTTATTTCAGATTTCTCTCATCCATGCTGATTGTTGTCCGTCGTTGTTGCTGTTGGCCAGGAATCTTCATCACCTCTGTTTTTCCTATGTTCACCTGAAGGTCTATCCTTGATGTTTCCTTTGCCAGCTAGTTGCTTTTCACTTGCATATCTTCCAGTTTGTTGGAAATCAGACATATATCGTCGGCGAAGTCCAGATCCTCCAAGTTTTTTGAGTGGGTTCATTTTATGCCTGTTTCCTCACTGCCCGCCGCCCGTTTCATTATCCTGTCTTCCACAATCAGGAAGATAAGTGAAAATAGCGGGCAGCTAGCCTTGTCTTACTTTCGTCTTCAATTCGAAGGATTCTGTGAGTTTCCCATTATGGATTACTTGGCACGCAGCATTGTCGTACAACTGCTGGATGAGACGTCGCATTCTGATACTCAATATTTTATAGTTACAGACGGGAATTCTAGAGAGGTTGTTCACAGGAACACAAATGCTTTAGATAATAGTAGAAGCACAATTTTCATTGCATTGCCGTCCCATAAAACAGCTTTAACAAGCAGTCCTCCAGCTTTAAAAGGGTGTAACACAGTGCACATTAGTGTAACACTGTTGAAAGGTGTTTTGTTAAAGAACTTTTGGGTTTGTAGTTTAGTATGCCTTGTAAAAAAGGCATACAAAATAGAATAGTTGAACTGCAAACGATGTTAGGCTTATTTGACAGCACAGGTGAACCAGTCTTCAATATCACAGAAAATTACTCTGAAGTTGAGTAAATGAAGTCTCTGGTGGATGTAGACAAGATGTAACTTGCAGATTCACATCCAGTAGCCTACCTGTTGGGAAACATCCCAGAATTGTTCCAAACAACCCAGTTAAAGCAGAAAACCTAGTTCACTACTTGGACACCATAGTGATGGTCCTAACAATATCATCACATTGGGCCAAAGTTCACAGTGCACAAGACTCGGCTTCTTCAGATCATAAAAAGCAAGATTTTGAATTGTTGCGGAGTGTTAAAAGTCCCTTGCGAATACAAATCGGCTCTGTAAAAGTCGCCCCAGCCTATCTGTCCCGCAGTTTTAACGTTTATTGACTCACTCGATACCTATATCATTATTATTCTCCTGGTTTCCTTATGGAACATATGGATTCAAAAACACATCTCCTCTTCCATATTCTACCGTCCTCTTCAGCTGGGTCTACGGTTACTCAATCTGAAATCTCCTCCACGTCTAGAACGACCCACTCGTCGTCTGCCATTCGAGTTCCATTCGAGAGATTGCTTTGCACGCGATTTGACTCGACTGTCTCTTCAATGGGTGTGCAACCCATCTCCATTTTCTCCTACACCTTTTTGCGCGATCGTCCCTTGGTTGGTTTATTCCCAGCCAGAGTTTCTCGTCGCTAATTCTTTCTGGCCAATTGATCTTCAGTATGAAGCTAGCGAAGACAGCTGTTTAAAAAAGTCTGCAACCTGATGGAAATCCTTTTCATGACACTCTGGCCAAGCTTCTGACCTGTATAGAAGAACTGACCGACTTGACATTGGTGTTGAAAATACGACTCTTGTTCCCTATACTGAGTGCCGAAGATTTCGAAACTGGTTTTAGATTGATGGAGGCGTTTCTTGCCTCTCTGATTCTGCCTGGCTTTGACATCTTCATCCGTTCTGCTTGTAGTTGAAATGATGCTTCGTAGATAAGTGAAGGCAGTAAGTGACCACTGTTAAATCTCTCTCGTTGATGGCCATTTATGGCGGTTGTTTCTGCTGTTAGTTGGTTATCTTCATCGGCTCCGTTTTCTCTATCTTCACCTGGAGTCCTGTTTTCTGCCAGTTTGTTGCTTTTCGTGTGCAAGTCTTGGAGTTTGTATGACATTAGAAACAAATCATCTGCGAAATCCATATCTCCTACAGTCTCCTTATCGGGCCAACGTACTCCTGACTTCTTACTCCCCACAGTCCGATGCACAATCCAATTCACGACAACTAAGAATATCATCGGCGACAATGGGCAGACAGCCTTGTATTACTACTATATTCGATAGCGTCGTCGAGTTTCCCGCCATGAATCTTCTGACACGGGAATTTTCATATATCTATACAACCAAGTTGATAAAGGTTTGGTCACTGCACGACGTGGTGTTGAAGCAGTCACAAATAACTTCTTGGTCAACGCTGTTAAAGGCCTTCTAAAAGTCGATGAAATTGAGGAAGAGATCCGAATGCCATTTAATGCTCTGTTAGATGATGATGCGTAGAGCAGCACATGATTTGCCTTTCCTGAATGCAGCTTATACTGTGGGGTGAACTTTTGTGTCCAGTGCATCTTTTGTTCTCTCCACGATGATGCGACTTGGTGTTTTACTTGGTGTGGATAGACAAGAGCATTATTCCACGTTACTACCTTCAGAGGGAGGCGTAAGTCTCCCTTCTCTGGTAGCTTGACAAGGTAGCCAGCGTTTCTTTCAATCAGTAGGTTCCCTTCCTTCCTTCCAAACCTTTTGCAGTAATTGAGTGAGAACATCTACCGTGGTCTTTAAGTCCGTTTACAGTGCTTCGGGGGAAATTCCATCTGGTCCTGCTGCCTTACCCAACTTCAGTAGTGTGGTCGCATTCAGGATTTCTGCCTTCTTTGCAGGGTTGGCGTTCACTAATAGGCAGCACTGTGCGTGCTGTTTGTGGTACTTCTGGGCGAATTGCCGGTGGTGGTCGATTCAAGAGTCCTCTAATGTGATCAGCCCATCGTTTGACTTGTTTATTATCCTCAACAGTCAGGTTCCCTTGAGCATCTTTTGTTGGTTTCACCATGTGAATTGATCTCTTCCCTGACAGATACCTGGTTATCT